ATATTTTTTGCCCCGTATTTTGAAGATTGAGACGTCTCTCTTTTTTTTACGACTATATATTTTTCTTTCCACCACTAAGAATAAGAAAAATTTCTTTCTTTCTTTATAATACGACTCTCATTATTTGTATAAATAAATTAAGAAAATCAAATTGATAAAAATATATCTCTTTCTTTTTCGCTTTTCTTCGCGAAGAAATGAGATATTTTTCTTCTATCTTTAATTTAATTTATATTATTATATAGATAATCTTTCTTTCCCGTCTTCATTTTATAGAACGAGATATCTTATCTTCTCTTATAAAAAAAATATTTCTATGAAGATTGCACTATAATTATTCTTTCTTTTTTTCTATTTTGTTTTTTTTGTCGCCTTTATTTCTTTGTCGCCTATAGAACGAGAAAATTCTCTTGCTTTTACGACCCCAATTGAATTTATATATAATATATTTTCATTTCTTCTCTTTCGCCGGAGGAAATTTCAAATATCTCCGAACCCTAAATTAGTCTGGAGGAGGACCTTGTTTAGGTCGATATTATGAAATATTATAAAATAATAGGACAATTCTAAAAAATAATATTCCCAGCTTAAAGACCCATAATTCAAGATTTATTATTTCAAGCATTTCTACGACTAGACGTATTATTATTAGGACTGCTACTAGTGGTACCGATACTATATTACTATTATCGCTACTGCTACCGCTACTAGCGCTTCTTTTACTACTACTGTTACTATTATTGTTACTCTTATTACGACTACCACTACTGCTATTGCTGCTTCTATTACCACAACTAGTTCTACTATTACTGCGACTACTACTACTATTGCTGCTGCTACTGCTACCCACTACTAGTGCTACTACTATTGCTACTACGACTGCTGCTGCTACTGCTACTGCTTCCACTATTACTTCTCACTGCTACTACTACTACTACTACTTCCACTACCAATTCCACTACCAATTCCACTACCACTACCCCTACCCCTACCCCTACCACTACCACTACCACTACCACTACCACTACCACTGCCACTACTACTACCACTACCACCAGCATTATTGCTACTACTACTACTACGACGACTACTACTTCTACTTCTTCTATTGCAGATTACTGTAGAGATCAGCGACTGAATAATCCATTTTTTGGAAAACTATTGGTGGCCTAAACGATATCTCAGACGATAGCTTAAATTTTATTTAGAAGGTTGTTTTTGGGATCATACCCCAAACACACGCGCAACATATGTCTGCTGATGAGCCCCATAACCCCACTCCCACATCGCCCTTCACCCTCTCAAAGCATCATACGTCGGCTCCGCTTGGAGCTACTGATTCATCTATTATTTGCATGAAATCCAAGAGTGGCGCCGGTATTTTATTTAATCTAATATGAGTCAAAGATATAGTCATGTGCCCAAAGTCTTAAAAAACGATAGGGAAATCCCAAAAACGATATCCCTTGTCAAAAAGCCGCTTCTTAAAACAATAATATTAATACTACCTCATCTTTTAAAATTAAATATCTTTCTTATTTTTATGGTCATATATTTCTCATTTCTCTTCATTTAAAATTAAGATATCTTTCTTCGTCTTGTGATCTTAATTATTTAAAAAACCATATCGATATGCATTTCTCCTCTTACCTCTTCATCTAATAAATAAGAGAACTTCTATTTCAAATATAATCATATATACTTTCTTTGCGATACAAAACAGAACAAAACGAAATATGGGGCGAGCGATCCCATGCCAAAAGGGGCAGAGAGAAGTCATAGAGGGCAGAGAAATAAAAATAATTTCTATAACGTAATTTTTTTTCGGAAGTTATTTTTTGAATATTATTTATCAATTTTTCTTTTATATTTAATTTCGTATTTATAGATTTATTTAAATTTTTCTTATCAAACTCATGAAATATTAATATCAATTAAGAGATTGCCTAAAAATCTTTGCCTAAAGGCGACCGAAATACTAAATTCTTTCGAGCCCCATTTTATCACTAATAAGAATATATTAATTAATTCAATCGTGCCATCAATATATGAAATATAATAAAGGGCGGAAAAGTATGTTAATATAGACGAATAGAGAACTCTTCTATATATAATAGATAAAAATATATTAAGATAGTTGGTAATCTTCCATAATATAAAATTAGGCCAATAGTGCCAAGCGACGAAGTTGCCCGGAACTACCACAATACTAGTGCGAAATATCGATTGCACAACAATTCAAATGGCAAAGTATTCCAATATAATATACAAACTCGTATAATATATGAGGATTATCTTACTATTCTAGCGCCAAATTATCACTAATCTAGCGCCACAAGGGTGATTCATTTGCCCAACGTCGGGCCCCGCCTCATACCAAAGATTAAAACACATGCTCCAAAGATAATTATAGAATCTTAACCGCTCTTTTAGGCAACCTCGCAATTTTATTAATATCATGCAGATAACAGGGTTCGGAAACAATCAGTGTTCAGCGGGAGTTCAGCTCTCGGTAACCAGTGCTGCTCATTCCAGAGCTGCAAGTGGACGGACTCGTTTCAGTCCATCTCTATTTGGAAGGGAGCCGGTGTTGGAAGAAACCATAAATATCCGCAGAGAAGAAACACAAAGCATCAAGCGAATATTGAACAATTCCATGCAGTGTGCTCCCTTTTGAAGCTCCTGCAGTGGAGCAAGTGCTCCTGGCTCTACCGAGGTGCGATCCTGCAGAGCTTGCGCTGTCTTTGGCCGGATCCGACACGACCTCAGCCGTCACCAGCGATGCATATGCCGGCCAGACTTGATCAGAATACTGGATCGGCTGTGCAGGTCTACATGATTTCACGGACTGATCCGAAGACTTGCGAACTTACCAAGGCCGCGGCTCGGCTAGCAGAACCGATTATCTCTTTCAGCAACAGCTGGATCATACGGTCAGCTTCGCCGTGGCTCTCGGAGAGGTCGGTGCTGTGGATCGATGGACCCATTAAAGACAGGGTGCAGGGCTCGTCGTCAGGCATCGGCAGAAACAAATGAACAATCATGCTCTGGGCTTGCATCTTCTTGATGAGAAGCTTTCCTTCGTTCGGGTAGCTTCCTGGTGCCCTGTTGTGTTGGACTTTGTTGAGGAACTCCTCCACATTGTCCGGGCAATTTCGTCTCTTCTCTATTGTGATCTCCAGGCCACCCAAAGTCAGCTCCTCTATGACAAGCTGGTCGAGTCCTTAGATTCACTCGTCGAGATGCTGTCTGTCAAACGATCTCAAAACTCGCACCTGTGTGCACAAGCTCTGTAGGCAGTGATGAACATAGCATCCCCCGCCGGCCTGATCTCATCAAACTCGTCAGGCTGACCTAGGGTGACCATTCTGCTTTTTTGTGCCAAAGCCATCTTGGATCATAAGNNGCCAACTGACCACTGGCGACAAGGTCTGCGGAACCCGGACTTTGGAAAGCCACAGAGACGTGTCCTGCCCATTGGAACGAACGACTAAAACCAACGTCCGAGCTGAGCTTCGGGCCGCGAAGTTCACGGATCTGATGCGGAGCATCCAGTCGCTCATGTAGGGAGCCAGGTTTCCGATTTCCACACCTGACTGGTTGATGCCCCATGCACCTAGTGAGGCTTCTGCGTCGCTACGACATGGCGCCCACCTAAAACTTCGAAGTGCATCTGCCCGCCACACAGCTTGAAGTCGACACTCTCCACTTGGCACCTGGGTGCTGCGAGCTGCACCTCCGAAGAAAAGTTCCACAGGGCCGAACAAATCCATTGCCTCTTCGAGGCACCGGGCACCATCAGCTGCCTTGCTGATCCACGACTCGACGAGACCCTTCATCGGTCTTTTGAACCTGGCCAGGCAGGTAGCCAATCGAAGAACTCGAAGACTGCACTACACCGCCGCAACGCAACTGATATCAAGAAGGCACCTGCTCCACGTCACACCTGCTCCCGCGGCCCCGGCCGTAACCGCAGCCAAGGTCAGGAGCACCATCCGTGAGAGCTCGACACTTCGTTCTTTCTACGTCGCTACATCACGTCCGTGACTGCCTCCCATAAGCCAATCGAAGCCCAGCGCCCAGCACAAGACTGCAAAAACTATCCAACTCTGCGGCGGTGGCAACACAAGCTGCGCAATCTTCGAATCCTACTCTATCTTACTCTCCTCTCCTCCCTGTTTACAAGCCAGGTCACGTGGCACTTAGAGGATTGGTCCGAATCCTACTGTGTTTCATCGTCGCCCTCCTACGATAAGCATTTTGTCTGAGGAGTTGAAGCTCCTTTGGCGTCTTCGTTAACTTCACCTGCACGCGTCGGGTGCGCGGCAGCTGCACTTCCCTCACGGGCAGGAGCCTTTTGCTTGGACAACCCAAACTAGCCAAGTTAAGTTCGCTAAACATCACGCCAAGTTCGTGTTGTCGGACAACGGAAGTGATGCAGCTTATCAAGTCCTGCGCAGGCCAGTGCATGCATGCCACAAGCTTAAGGACAGTTTGAACATGCCATGTACTTCCTACCTTCTACCAGAACTGCTACGCTGCACCATCTGACTCTTAGTGCAGAACTGATTTGCAACTGCTGCTTCTACCACGGTCCCTGCTGCCCACTACTGACACCACCCCCCTACTGCTTCCTCCTACATACTCCTGCTCCTCGCACTACTTCCAAATCTACTTCTACTTGTACTTGCTCTTGTACTCCTAGTTGTACTTCTAGTTCTACTCCTTCTACTGCTACTAGTTAAGTCATTGTATCTACTACACCTATAAGAGTAGACCAACAGGAACACTATTGATCATTTCAGTACTCACTGGGAACAACAACAAATTTTTTTAAGGATCAACCGCAAGCGCAGAACCAGAATCAATGTCAAAATCAATTGACTCAACTAGACATACGAGAACGGCACCGCAAAAACACATCTCTCGAGTGCTACTACTAAAGCCTCCTGCAGCCGCGACGGCATCGCTGCATTAACGATTGCTCAAGGCTACTGGCGTCACATTTCTCTCGAGTACCACACGACGAACTCCGGATAAGCCTGCGACAGCTTCAACCCTGGCGCACAGTTCTCAAACACAGTCTGCGGACAGTGTCCTGGTGTGTGTCGTAGACGATCATCTCGCGAAACCTTGCAACAGTGGGATGCCCTGTCTCCAGCAGTTAAGCTCGACATGAACCGTCCTCTCCAATGGGCAAGCCTGTTTGCAATTACAGTCTAATCAATGGGTCTCGCACGTGTTGCGGATCTTCTCACGATCACCCAGTACTGAATGGTTTTCGCCTCTGGTACAGCGCCTGCCGTGACATGCTTCGAGTACAGCGAGCTTTGGAGGTTGCAGGCATGGCGTCCTGACGAGGTCGTTTGTGTTCGGATATTCTTCGTCGGTGTACCTCAGGACATCTGGATCATCCACCAGAAAGAACTGTCTCTTCACATTTACACCCGGCCCCACTTCCGATTCCGGGTTAACAACGACAGCATGTTGCCCCCTTCCGGTGCACATCCTGCTGTAAGACTGCGGCAGTAGGCGGCCCAAAGTGACGCGACAAACCTCGGCTGGGTGCCTTCTGGCCGGTAGGAGACATGCTCCTGATGCTCCAGCGAAAAGCAGAAGCCCGCAAAAGCCCCGGAGACTCAATGCCAGGCTACCAACATGCAGCAAAGTCCTGCCAGACAATGCGTCTGAGCACATCTGCCATTTCTCTGCATTCATCCCAATATCTTTCCGCGACAGCTGCAGTGGCTTTTAAAGTATAATACATAACAGTTAATATACGGTATATGATGTATGACATTAATACAACATCACATGGTTGGGTGCTTGGTTACCTCAGATCGTGGTTGCGCAGGTGGACAGGCCTCGGCTGTCTTCCGTCGCGTACCTATCAATGCAAGAGTAAGAGGGTTGGGTTTAGGGTTTAGGGTTTAGGGGTGACCTCCAAGAAGACCTGCAGCTACTTGCATCTACTACCTAGTCCTGCGAAGCGCACTCGTCGCTTTTTCCAGTGCTCTCACCTGATGGCCAAAGATTTCCCTTGAGTGGCGCTCTGGCGAGCTCTGTCACGAGGCTCAAGCTGAAGTAGAGGCCTCTTCCGTAAAGTGTCCCAGCCTCAGCCCATTGAATTCTTTTCTCTTTGGCCGACTCACTTTGGCTTCCAGACACAATTGGCACATAAGCTGGTGGCGTTTGAACCGGCCAGGTCGAGACGAAAATCACCTGCGAGTGCAACAGAGCACGACGGAAAGTCGCGCAATCCAGGTGCTCGAGTGCTTTCGAAATGTCCGCGGCCTTCTGCTATGGCCAAAGCCGACGAAGGCTTTGTTCCTGCTGCAGTCCGAAGTCGAAGCACTTATCTTCAGCACAGGCACAGCTTGGAGGATTGTTCTATCTGAGCAGCAGACGGGTTGGTCCGACATCATGGCTTGCAGACTCAGGCCGCAACCGTGAAAAAGATAAAATTCGTTGATGCCGGCCTTGGCATAGAAAGCGATCAGACGCTTCCCTTGCTACATCACTCACAACACCGGCGTAAATTTGCAGCTGCTGGGCATCAACTGGATCATTCGGAAGGTCGTGAGACTCTCTCCAAACTTGGTGGAACCTGCAATCTCCGCAGCAAGTCTAATTGCCCGCAGTCTGCACATGCAAAGATACTCGCAGAAACTGCGAGCTACTTAGTTGCTACTTAAGGTTGGCTGTCGAAGGAAGTCCAAGTGTTGCCAGGCAGACGGCTTCCCGCTGGGCAAGGCAGCAAATGTCTTGCATACCTGTGCGATCCGGGCAGTTCCGCCAAGTCAGCCTACAAGTAAATGACTGTGTCGACGGATGTCGATGGGTACCCGAGTCTTAAATCCGAGAATCCGACAGATCTGCTCTCCAGTTGATTGAGGAGCGTGGCTGGATGGGGACCTTGTACCCGCAGTGGACGCTGCAAACAACTGTGAGTCCGGTTGTGATGCAGCTGACCACTGTGCTGATGGCTTCAGGATTTGATCTTCGAGCTTCAGGTAAGCAGATAGCGGTAAGAAAGTGTAATTGTCTGTTAGAGCCGCACATTCGTCTTACACAGCGATAGAAAAAACTTTGGAGCTGACGCTCTTGGCATTCTTTCCGAATCTCCTGCCAGCTATCTCCAGCTGGTGTGTATCTTGAACTGCACTGTCTGTCCTCGCGTCTTCGCACGTATTCCACGAAGTTCGGCAGATTCTTTACAACCTGAAGGGCGAGCAGGATCCATGGAACCGTCATGGCAACAACCGAAGGTGCGAAAGTCTGCGAAAAACCCAAACATCTCCCATATGCTCGCGAGCAGCCACGGCTTCCTTGACGATCAGCCGTGACCTTGGCAAGCGACCCCGCTGCTACCACAGCAAAATGGCAGTCCCATCTCAGAGATTGGGGTCATGGCGGCACATCTCCTCTTCGGTCCTTTGTCCGCACCTGATCTTGCGTCTTGCTCATCGACTTCGTCGGCATGCCAAGATGTCTTGGGAACAGGGAGCAAAGGATGTTCCATGTCAGCAGGATAACCCTAATCCCTGAAACCTAAGCCCTAAACCCTTATAGTATCCCTTATAGAACCCTTTAAGGCCCCTACATTACATGGTTGGACTTATGGTGTTTCCGACGTTTCCGGGGCCCTCGCGCGGCGGTAGGTTGCATCGAGCAGCTCTTGGAAGACCTTCCCAACTGTTAAGCCAATAGTGCCGATAGTATGATATAGTATTAATAGTACATTCGTAGTATATTTGTAGTACACTAGAACTGTATAAATCTTAAACACTGCGTATTTCATATGAGCTATGTCATACCAAATACAGCACGGAAAACCGGCCATGCCTCGCAGAGGGTGTTTTGCAGCAATTCTTTCTTGACGCTGCCTGTGAGTCTTCAGCTCGTGGGGACACTTTAGGGCTTTAGGGCTTAGGGTGCACAGTGCCGAGTCTGGGGAGCCCACTCTTGGAGATTTTGCTCAGCACCTGTTCATTCTCGAAGTACCTGCGACGTAGAAGATGCTCTTTTGACTCAAGTTGCACGAGATTACACGATGCCTGAAGCCAAGACACAAACACACGTCTGATGCATGTAGATATGTTTGCCATCGTATAGTTCCGATCTGTGCTTTTCGGAAGCATGAACAGGTCACGGAGGCAGCCCCAGCAGCTCCTTGTAGACCTGCAAGGCCAACGGCGTACGACCGGCTTAGAACCACCCTAAACCCTAAACCCTAAGCCCTAAACCTAAGGTGGCTTAGAAGCCACCAGATTGGTCTTTGCAAAGTACGAGCAACTGCTTGGGCACTCCCTGCGTTGCTCCCGTTGCCTTGATCGCCTCTTGGAACTTCGGCTCCTGGTGCTGGCAGTTCTTTACAAGCGCAAGCCCATTTCACACGACCGTTGCCGCGATATCCGCCTTATCTACAGGCTTACGAACGCTTAGCAAAAACGTTTATAATTGTTGAACCCCTCCCTGTCGGAGCCTGACCAGCCCAGGCATTGACGTCCACATCCTGCGTGCGAAACTCACAAAAGTGTCTTGTCGTAATTCCCACATTGCAAGCTCGTGATAGCTCACTCGCTCCGCTGTCCTCCTTTATCTGCTACCTGATGCCATGCATAGTGGGGGATCTAATCGGGGGATGAGTCTCCTGCTCGATCATTTCCTGCAGCGTCGAGCGCAGAGCTTCCTTTCGTTGCAAGCATCTGATGGGCAGGGTGTCCCGTGCAAACAAAGCTCTGTTGGGATGATGTTGTAAGCGACTGCATCGCGGCAGACACATCTTCCGGACCACGACGAAACGAATTTGCTTTCGAAAGCCAGAGCATTTTGAGCATGAAATGGCATTGACTGCACCTCCACAACACACAATCAAGTTCTTCGGTTGTCTCCTGATCTCTTCTCGCCATTGCCTCGGTGATCATCAAGCATGGCTTCAGCGGGACATCCTAACCGCGTCCTGACCTTTGCCTCTTACAGTACAGTGTTGCCACTGCCGGTAGCATGGTTTCGTCGTGTTCGCCATTCTTGTCCTGAAACCGATTTTGGCCGATCGGCACTGCTAATTTTGCAAAGCGAGGAACACTATGTCTATCTTTCTATCTATCTGTCGGCCTACCTATGTATCTATCTACCTATCCATCCCGTTACCCATCTGCAAGTTTACCTGCCTACCTATGTGCCTGCGGACCTACCTGGGTTCCCATCTATCTCTCCATCTCTCCATCTCCCCATCTCTCTATCTCTCTATCTATCCATCTATCGATCTGTTTATCTGTCTGTCAAACTATCTATCTATCTATCTATCTATCTATCACACCGACCGACCGACCGACCTACCTACCTACCTTTCCATTTATACTGGTAGTAGGTATGCATGTATGTATGTATATGTCTAGCTATACGCACACATACGAATAGGTGTGCACATATATATGTATATATACACACACAGGTATCTGTACTCGTGTATACATTGAATATTGAATTACACCACCCTTTGTATATACACACATAAACATCTGTGTCTGTGTGTGCGTTTCTGCATTTCTGTTTTTTATCGACAAAAGCAAACACGATATGAATACGTATGTATATATGTATATGTACATATGCACATGCATATACCTGTATTTATGTATATCTACACGTATCTACTGTGTGCTCACACTTGCTCCTAGTTGATGATACAGGTATATATGGGTATCAAATGCATGTACTTTGCTTATCTGTGTGGGTGTTCGCGTGCTTGGTTGCTTTCTGTTGCTTGCTTGGTTGGCTTGCTGGTTAGTTGGTTTGTCGGTCGGTTGGATCTTTTGTGTGCTTATCTCTTTGCTTCCTGTTGTTCCGTGAGCCTCGTATAGGGATGCTCTGCCATCATTTTCACTGGCAGCCCTGGACATGAAACGTTGCAGATATGACAGAGCAGAAGCAGCCGAGCACAGAGCCTAGTAGAGTTAGAGTCTTATTCTTATATATATATATATAGACATATATATATATAGAGATAGAGCTATGCAAAGGTATGTATATATGACACTTATGATACAGTATAGCCACCTAACCTATGATATATGCGACATACTTATATGCATAACATATACACATTTAGCCTCGCAACATATCACCAGACAAACCGTGTAGCAGTTGAACTTGCTGTCGCATGTTGTCCGAGACTCGCACGTCTTGCAGGTTCTGCAAGCAGAGCTGCCTGCATATGCCGTCTAGCAGGAGCTCATGCGTTTAGCTCGGGTAATCGTATTCAGACTGCACGGTCCGCATCTCAGCCGCTGATTTGCTGCGTGCCTCTGCAAATCCACCAGCCGCATGTACTCAGGCAAATCTGAGTAGCCGTATCTTTCGGCCTGCTGAGGATGGCGATGTGAAGCTTTAGCACAGTTTGCAAATACATGCCCATAATTGCTCTGTGACTAGGCGGCGACATGACAGGGAGCGAACTTGCTGCAGCGGCTCCCTGCCTCAGCACATGCCTTTCGTACGGCTTTCCGGCTACAGGTCGCACTGGCACGTTGCAGCGATTGGCCTGGCCCGGGTGCAGTTACACTGAACTGGACGATGTCATGTCCTACCTTGCGTAGAAACAGATACACAAACTACACACATATCTATCGATCTACGGAGTGAGGCATGCGACTAGGGCTCTAATCTGAACTCTTCTTTATACGGTTCGAAACAGCCCTCCTCCAGCCTAGCTGGATGGGTGTTTCCCAGATCATGTCCGGAGAGCTCCATTTACCAGTGTTGCATACTTTCGGCTTGAGGGTGAAAGCTTAGATTGCACGGCCTCGAGGCCCTTCCCCCCGTAACCATGAGCATCAGCAGGGAACTGACGGGCACAGACAAATAGACGGAGTCAACTCCTGTTCATCCAAGCTAAACTCCACGCCGAAGACATCATGAACCCTTAACCCTGCCAGAACTAAGCCACTGGTCTGCAAATAAGCGACCCAACCGTTGGAAACCCAGCAGCACCGCTGCTTCGGGCTCAGCGAAAAGAGAATTTCACGAGGAAGTCTTCTAGGGACTGGGCTTTAATTTTTGGGTCTAGGCTGTGGGGTATTTCAGGGCTTTCGATGCTGATCTTCTTGGGGATCCGATTACAGAAGCTCGGCGGGTTAGAGTTCCGGGACTCTTGAGGAGTTTGGACTGCCTCACTCTAGCTGCAAGCTCCGACATCACCAAGCAGGCCGGTTGTGCGGACGCCCTTCTTGAGCGCTACCTTCGGGAACTGCCGAAGTGTGCGTTTAACATGCAGAGGCAGCAATGTCGTCAAAAGAAGAGACAACCTTCGGTGTCCATCCCTGAATTAAACCGCTCTGGGAGCACAGCTTGCCTCCGCTTCCGAAAACTCTGGTCGTTCGGTCAGCAGGGAGCCTGTTGCCAGCTCCAGACAAAGATGAGTCCGCTCTGATGACCATCAGTGAATCTAAGCAAACGGGATCGAAGTCTAAGCTGATTGAGACACGAATGCCCCCGTCCATGCAACCCGCGGAACCAAACCTCCAGGACGCGTCTTGCCAGCCTCGAGTGCTGCGTGGCCAAGATGCTGCCATTACAGCACTTATGTTGGCACTGGCACGATAGCGTGCCCTGCTGGCCTGCAGCAGGCTGTGCAACATCTCCAAATCGCCTCCGACAGCAGCAGCAGCGGCAGTAGCAGGAATAGGAGGTGGAATACAGCGGCAGCAGCACTAGCAGCCGGATTAAGGATTGGTGGGGTCATGTCGCATCCAAGAGCGCGCTGCATATCCTGAATGTTTTGCAGATGCCAATCCTGCAAAGCGCTTGTAAGTGATGGCGCAATGCCAGATCTGTTGGGCGTAGCGCTGGCAGTCTTGGCGTGTCACGCCCATTCCTCCTATGGGCACCGTGCAGAAACCTTGGCATGCTGTGAGTGTTCTCTGCGTGGCACTGCAGGACCACCTGGACCGCCTTTGCTTGAATGCTGATCCATCGTTTATTGAACGGATTAATTACTATGCTGGATGTCGTCGAAGCTACGAACGTGAAATGAAGAACATGATTCGGCAGCGGATTCGGCATCTTCGCGTTTCTCATGTGATGGCCTCTCGCGGCGGCGTCTGCAAGCTGCCTGGGCGGAAGTTGCTGCTTTGCACACTTTCGCCCTGCCGAGCAGGGGGAACAGCCTGCCGATCTGTTCCACCCGCTTTTCCTCCAGCACCGTCTGCAAGGCATCCTCCGCATCCTTGTAGAGCCTTCCGGGCGAAAGAATCGGATTCGACCAAAGTTTCGCTTCCAATTTGTTCTGTATTCCATGAGCAAATCTCATTCGCGAAGACCCTACGCTTGGACGAAGGCACGAGGGCGGCATGGCTGTGGGATGATGGGTTCACACAAGCGGGAGGGCATCACTTGCCGACCCTCCCCAGCGGCTGTTTCGACTTGCTTCCGCATTCGAAGCCTCAGAAAAACACCTCTCTGAGTTGTGCCAAGGACCCCTCCATCGCCGCCTTGAACCGGTCTGCTCGTACTGCTGCGCGCTCAGGATGGCCTGCATCATGTCAGAGACTCTGCCTTAAACTTCCCGGAAGCACGGCAGCACAGCTGAAATGCTTACCCCCAGTACCCCCCGTTCTTCTTCCCCGCTTCCCCTGAAACAGCTGCACGGCAGAGTGCGGCAGGGTCGCACAAGAGACGTTGACACAGACTGTGACAGTGCGCTTCGGTATGCACGCTGCCCAAATCAGCATGGGAATAATGCACCCTGCATCTGTAGCTGCTCTCTGTAGCTTTGTTCGATGGTGATGACCTCTTTAATCAACCCTAAACCCTTAACCCCAAGAGAAAGGAGGCTCGGGTGCAGACGAGCGCTACAACACAGCGGACGGCGCTGCACCTCCTCGCGGACGAAGCTCGAAGGCTTCTCGCAAGGTCTTTGCACAAGACGCACGGAAATGCTACAAGTTTCCCGGAGGTCCAAGAGCGAGTCAGAGCCGGCCGCTTGCCCCGCAGCATGGCCGACTCGAGGCTCGTTCTAGCTATATCTATATCTATGTATGTATGTATGTATGTATGTATGTGTAAGGGATCTATACCTATATCTATATCTATATCTACATCTATATCTATATCTATATCTACCTACCTATCTACCTATAGATCTGTCGATCTGTCTGTCGACCTATCTATCTATCTATCGATCTATCGATCCATCGATCTATCTATCTACCGTCTACCTATCTATCTATCAATCTATCTGCCTATCTACCTATCTACCTATCTATTTATCTATGTAGCTATTTATATGTATATATCCGCCGACCCCTGAGAGGCGGCGCTCAGAAGTTGTGTTGCCGGCTCGGTTTGCCCAACCCCACCAAAAGACGCACTGCTCGCCATGTGCCCTGGGGCCTCTTTGGCTTGTTTTGATGGTATTGTGATGGTAGTTCTGCCATCTTGCCCGCCCCGGCGCTCCTTGTTTTGCTTTTTGTGGGTAGTTTTCGATTCCAATGCATGCCCAATCCCACCAAAAGACACGCTGCCTGCCACGCTGTCCGCCCCGGCGTCCTTGGCTTGTTTTCATGGTCAAAGTGCCGAGTTGCAAACAGGCACTCCTGACCTACCAACTTATCGGCCGGTCTTCAGCGCCCACTACTGGACCCTGCCCTTCACAGTGGTGATTTAGTCGTTTCTTCAAGCTGACTGCAAGCCCAACTTCCCATGCCCCCGCGACCCTTTTGACCCCTCAACGCCCCCAGTGCCCACTGTCGTTCAGACGCTCAAACCGAGCCCATACCCCTCAAACCCCCCCTCTCCCCCACCCCTCAACCCCCCCAGCGCCCACTACTGGACGCTGTCCTTGTCCTTCAGAGTAGTCAATCCGAGCCCAAGCCAAGCCCTACCTACGCCTCATGCCCCTCCGACCCCCCCTTTACCTTCACAGTAGTGATTGAGTCACGTATTCCGAGCCCGCGCCCCACATGAGCCCAAGCAAGCCCTACCCCTTGTAGCCCTTAGTGCCACCACTGGACCCTGTCCTTTTCAGAGTATGTGACTTAATCATTTAATCCGAGCCCAAGGGGAACACTTGCCCCCAAGCCCCCACTGCCACAAGCCACAAGATACAACCTACGTCGCGCATTGAACTAGATGAGCACTCGGGGCACCCGCAACCGGCCCTGCAGCGCGAGGCGATATTTTACAATTTGTTGAATGGGTTGGACAAGCCCACAGAGGGCGCGCATCATCAGCATCAGCGGGGTTCGGCGGAGGGGTGGTGCGTGGCCTTGCTCCAGTTTTCTACCTGCACTGCCCGCCCGTGGGCGCAGCCCCCAGTGTGTGTGTGTGTGTGTATGTATATATATATATACATACATACATACATACATACATACATACATACATACACACAAAGCTCAAAGACGGGTTTGCTTATCTGGAGATCTACTCTTCGCGCTCTGTCTTGGACCTCCGCGATCTCCCCGAGCCACTTCTGGGCCAGGGTGTCTGCTCTTCAAACGGTGCATCTAGACCACTCGAACATTTGCAGGGGCAGGCCGCCCTCTAAGTGGAAAACATTCGGACAAACATGCCTTTCAGCTTGTCACGCTTTCGAAGCCTTTGGTCGTCTTGTGGCCTGCAGCATGCATTCCCTGACTAGCTTGTGCAGAATACTGAGCTGCAAATGGCTTTAGGCTGGCTGGCGTACCGTTGACTCTGCAGTATGCTGTCACTGCTGTCTCTCTGACACAGCCTTTGCAGTTGCACTTTCCAACTCTGCAGCATCTGCACCCATGATTCTGCAGCCTGTTCAACGTGATGATCTCCTTCGAGATTGCTCTCTCTGCGGCTTCAAGGGCGTCGTCATCAGCACCACCACTCTTCAAGTAACCTAGTTCCACATGCCCGAACATGCGGCGCACAACAAACAAGACAAAGACTGCTACAATCTCATGACGAAAGAAACACATGTTACACTGTTTTTCCTGGTGGCCGATGAACTCCTCATAGGAAATCTTGCCGTCATGATTCACATCGAGGTCCTTCATCACTTGGTTGGCTTCGCGATCGCTTTCCAGTACCTTCCCATCAACGCTGACGGACACCTAAACCATAGACTTGCATCCTGAACCTGACAGTAGCCTCCCAAAATTGCAAGGAAGAAAGTGCTTTGGCTTGAGGTTTCGCCCGTGGTTCCCAATCGCACATGACTGCTGAAATTTCAGTCGGGGCACCAGCAAAAGATCCTCCTTCCGGATGAAGCCTGTGTTTTCTGTGTCGAAGCGGCGGAATGCATCCTTGAGGAGATCATCATGTAAAGAAATCCTTGATGCCATCATGGCAGCCAAGAACTCCGAGTAGTGGATCTCATCCTGCTCTACGTCGCCGATTGCATTGAACACCGTTTCGGCCTGGCCTTCGGGAATGTGGAAGTTGTCTTCTAAGACTTTCTTGAAGTCGGCTGCCGTGATGGTGCCGGTGCTTCCTCTGTCGAGCTCTAAGAAGGCCTCCCGTACTTGGCCCCTGTTTGGCAGGGGCGCACCGAGACAGCTGCACTAGTCACCCTAAACCCTAAACTCATCCTAAACCCTCATCCCATCTCATTCCTAAACCCTTTCAGGTCTAGGGCTGCTTTTGAAGGAGGCCTGCCTCTCCGATGCTGTGAGAGACCAGGCCATGAGCTTCATGCAGGACCTCCGGAAGTTCTGAGACTTCGCGAAGTCACAAAGGGACATGACCATGGCTTCGTCAATGCAATCGGTGTTGGCATGCTCCAAATTCTTGATCCAAGGATGCTCCAAGGCAGCCGGCGCGTTCATGCGCACATCTGGGTCCACCACGAGGAGCTTCTGCACAAAATCCGACGCCTGCGACGAAACCTTGGCCCACCTGTCCTTCTTCACGATGTAATGACCAGAGCGGATCATCTGAATCTGCTTCCTTTCGTCATTGCCAGCAAAAGGCATGTAGCCGACAAGCAAGATAAAGACAATCACTCCCAAGCCTCGACTGTCGGATTTTCCAGGAGAGACAGTGCAAAAACCGGTGCAATGAGTCCTGCATCCAAAACTTCAAACCCGGGAGCCCCAAAGTAGAAGGCAGTAACATAATAGGTGTTACCAGCTTTTGACTGGCGGGTCGCTCCAGAGGTCGCACTGGCTCGTGTAAGACTTCGCCAAAACCTCTGGGGCTGCATACGACAGAGTCCCGCAGCTCAACTCCATCTTCGTGTTCTTGGCCCACACCTGGGAGTTTAGGGTGCAGAGGTGTCCCTCTTGCTAGAAAGCCATCCCCAAGTTCTTTTTTGAGTTCTTTTGACATGTTGACAGCTGCAGTTCCGATCGCCTTGCTGAAGCCGAAATCGATGAGTTTCAGGAAGTCACCATCCTTCTTCTCATAGAGGAAATTCTCAAGCTTCAAGTCCCGGTGTACGATGCCGGCGCTGTGCAGGTAATTGACCGCCAAGAGCATCATCCACGCTGTTTTGCAGGCATCTTTCTCTGAGTACACTTTCCGCTCACGCACTCGATCGAAGAGCTCGCCACCCTCCATGCACTCCATGACGAGGCTTAGCCTGTCCTCTTCCTGCCAGCAAAGAGTGAAGCCGACAACTTGGTCATTACCTGAAGACTCCGATCACAGCGCCGGTCCTATTCAATATTCCCTGGCAGCTCAAAAGTCCTCATAGACATCAAACAGCCGGACAATGTGCGGATGATCCATACCTGAGGCGCTATCCACAAAGCTGGCATGCCTCCGGTAGCTTGCCAAAAGTTTCTTCGGGCAATCAAGTCAGAGGCGATGATCAGAAAAGGTGTGTTCAGCATCTTTAATATGAGGTTCCCGCGCGCTGACACATTGACATGGCTTCTGTCAGTCGTCTTCTCGCGGGATGTGGGCTAAGCTAGGAAGCAATGTTCATGAATTGCAAGTCCGGTGGCTCAGGAAGATTTCAGCTTCGGATGCAAGCTCAGCCTTCTTCCTGCCACAGGGCAGCCAGACAACTTGGGATGGTACTAGTAAAAAAGAAGATCTGCCAGGGACAACAAAGAGGTCCAGGCCGAAAAGCCACTGCAGGCAAGCGGCTCTTTGCTGACACCATGTAGTTTGAAGGCCTTGACGGCGAACTTGCCCGTTCTATTTTTCCCTCTGGCCAAAAGTACTGAGCCATTGTAGCCGGTTCCAAGAGCCTGACGAGGCGACGCATGGGAGTTTTTCAGAATTCAGTGGCACCCTTTGGGGGCTCCTGAAAACAAGGACGCTTCTAGAGCCCAATGTTTCAGGAAATCATTGTTAGATTAGTCACCTTCATCTAGATCCCAGAACATAATTTGACTGGGTGCCTTCTTCTCCACAAAGTAGTCGTCCTCGAGCCGAGTTGGAAGCCGATGATATCGACCAACCACGGAGATGTGGCCCACCCGATCTTCTGCCCGTGTCCTGCAGGGGATCCAGTCCAAACTAGAGGAGCTCCGCCGTACTGGGACTGGTACTACTACTCATACTACTCGTTGCTGCTCCTATGCCGGCGACGACGACTAGGGGGACCGCGACAAAGACGATTTCGGCGACCACGATTTCAACCCAAAGAAACAACTGCGACTGCTTATCAGCGTTACAGTATGGTCCGACCTCATCATCTCTGCAGCGCTATCGTTGCAATGATCAGTAGTGTTACCAGCATAATACGATTCATCCTGTTGCTACTGTGCTCAAGGCCACTGTTGGCAAGCACGATGCACTACAATCTGATACAGTCTTGCGTGACAATGCCACGGCACGAACCTGCTAACCTTACCTATCTCAGTTCCCTTCGCGGTCGTGTCGCATACCTTGTCGTGTTGACTCTGAGCCTTGCTGCTACTATTGCCGGCAGTAGCATGAAGCACGGGTGAAGTCTTTTCGCTGGTGCTACTAATTGTGTGAGAGGTGACAGGATGTTTTGCTTTAGCAGTAGCGTTGCTAAAGAAGACGGACTTTTGCCCTCATCCTAGCACGACTATGGCAAGAGCAATGCCGCAATGCAGCTTTAAAGCAGTGTCGGGAAATGCACGGCACCTGACAGCTTGAGACTCACGCCCGGTCGGATGCCGAAAGAACACACTACGTCTGATACACCCTCACTGTCAGCTGCGCAGGCAGTTGGAACCGACTTGACCATGGTGCTTAACGTTCGGGCGAAGGCTTTCACTGCAGTCATTGCGCGCTACCCTCCATCCAGCCCCCCCTGGAAGCACCACCATGCACTTGAGACACCGGCTGGAGCTTTGCTGCTTGTTACGCTGGAAGTCGACGGCACTTGCGACGACCGAAACGCACTACCGTCCGCAAAACCGTGCAGCCTGTGTTGCCTATGCAGCCAGAGCTGTCCTCACCGCATCCAGCGAGTTTGTAGAAGAGGCAAGGCCCATGCTGTTCGGCTTAGACTGTCAATATCCCACAGGCATTCCCACAATTAAAACTGGAGCGGCTGGCTGCTTGCATGGCTCACCATGTACATCTGTGTTGGCTTGTCTTTTTTCGGTAATTCCTGCACATGCAAGCTCGACGCTTTGAGTTGCATGATGCTATGGTTCTCTTGAGCAGGCAAGAAGCCAACGTCAAGGTGGCGAAACCACGACGGAAACTGCCTGTTCTCCCAGGACCAGCTAGAGCTGACGGCTTGCCCTTCGCCTGCTTCAGCTCGAGCTCCTTGCGCGCCGCGATCGCGGCCTCGAGCTCGATGGCCACAAGCGTCCTCCGATGGAAAGGAAAAATGGCACTGGACGGTGAAACCCGGAGATGGTCAAGAAGACTCTGAGCAGTGGTGCGCTGCACTTGGCGGCATGCCGCAAGCGACTGTACTGCAGTCCTGATGGCAGGCTCTTCTTCAGGCAGTTGGGCGACCTGTGCTGTCAGAATCACAGTGTTGTGGCAGCTCGTACAGACTTCTGCATCAGCAATGTCCTACCAGGAACAGAAAGACTGTGAGCGTGTTTGGCACGGTACCTTTGCGTAGCGCAGCATCTCCAAGCCGGCTGAGAGTCTTTCCCTGTCACGAACCTTCAGCCACAAGCAATCCTCACTGAATATCGTGGCACTTGCACATGACCCAGCATGCTGCATGCTTTCACTGCATGACGAGATAGGACTGCACAGCCTCGAGGGCAGCACGAAGCTCTTGCTGAAGCACTTGCACCTGAATCCAACCAACACGCGCAGCCCATGCTATCCTGGTCCAGGCGGTCCATTCAGCTCAGGGCAGCTTTTCTGTCCAACCCTGTCTTCTGCCGTCTGCAATCTGAAGCATCTGCTCTTGGCAAGCTGTGCTCCGAGTCTCAATCAGCTCTCACATCTCTAAACGTCCCTGGCGTGATCTGGCCCCTAAACCCTAAACCCGTGCTCTCTCAGACTGAGCCTCGCGCCAGCATGATGATGCACTGCATAATGGCGGGGTGCACCTCAGCGCAGGAAATCACACCGAGTCTGCTCAGGCTTCATGCTGGCCGTGTCCAAACTGAACATGCACATGCATTGAGCACACTATTATATGCCATGTTTTAGATTTTAGGTTTGCTATAGGGTTACTGTAGCTATATTGTAGTTGTACTCCTAATATGGTGATATAGTCATAGTCAGTTGAGTTTTATCTCACAATGTCGTAAGACGGCCCGGGCCCCGAGGCCTCCTCTTGACTCTTCATGGGCGGCGCCTGTGTTCAGATGTTGGAGAAGGCATGAGGCTAGATGGACTACTCACAGTTCTGGGTTCAAGGTTTCGGGTTGGGTTCAGAAGCCGACTTCCGACAGGCAGGATCTTTGTTTAATAAGCACAGACTTCTAAACGATTCAGGATGCACTCTTGGCTCCTGCGCAACATGCCAGCGAGAAGCGGATTCACGGGGCAGCGCTGAAGCTTTCGCACCAGTTGCAAAAGGGAATTTGTCGAGTTCTTGTCTCAATACTGTCAAGGAGGGACTGAGATTCACTCTGTCTCGTGCAACTGCGCCAAACATCGTGAAACTTCCAGAGGCCTATGGAAGAGAGGTCCGAGCGCAGCATGCAGCATCAAAGCTGCGAAACGACAGCATGTTCAAGGACCGGCCGGACAAAACGAGTGAGGCGAATGGCCTTTGCCACAGCACAAAGACTGCAAGCGAAGCGAGAGAAAGAGAACGAGAGAGAGAGAGAGAGAGCGAGAGAAAGACAGAGAGAGACTGAGAGGGAGAGAAAGAGAGAGAGAGAGAGAGAGAGAGGGAGCGAGAGAGATTGAGATAGAGCGAGCGAGCGAGCGCCGCATCAGCATCAGCAATAGGCCCACTGCTGGGCCAAGCAGTATCACTTCTTGGTGGTAATGCAGCCTCGGGTGCACTTGCAGGCCCTCGGAGTGTGAGCTTGATTAAATCCTAAATTCCCACAAACTTACACCCTGAGAGGGGTGTTTGGCACTCAGCATCTTGAATGAATGTCATCGTGGGGACAGTCACATCCAAATGAGGTGACACTTCGCAAATCTATGGCAGACTGTCAGGCCTACTCTTTGCGCTGGTTCATGTCATGTTGCGGGGAGTTTGGAAAGACTTCGACCCTCTCACGGCCTACATCGAAGCATCCACCGCAGGCAAGGCCTGCTTTGGCCCTGCTTGCTGAAGGCCATGAGTCCCCGCAGACAAACTTTTCAATCTCCAACAAACACTCAATAAACAAGAGATGCTCAAAAAAGAAGGGGCCCCAACGCTATAAGGACCTTTCAGAAGCCCCCAAAGCAACACAAAACCGAACCCGAGTCTGACAGTCGCTTGCTCTGCGAATCAGCAGCTCTTTGCCTGGAGAGTGGAACATCGAACCAATCGGAGGGGCCTCTCGTCCCGCATATCCAGCGCCTCCGAAAGATAACCCGAGTGAAGCTGCCTGACTTGCTTTCTGAGTCCGATTCTAGCGTGTCGTGAGCCCGTTTGCAGAATCCGATCCCCGGACTCTACGCCTGAATCCGACTCGGACTTCTTCGACATGGCGTGGATGCTGACATGTGCTACTGGTAGAATCAAGGTGGAAGAAACACGAAATCGCAAAAAAGATCTAAGCCCTAACCCTAAGCTCCAAGCGCCAGGAATGCTTCAAGTTCCACATCATGTTTTCTTCGCTTTGCATCGCACCAGTGCCTCCCGATGCCCACGAACGAGCTTGACGAAGTCATCAATACCTTGTGTGAAGTATTGTGATCTGCCACAACCGCTACTACCTGTACACGCCTTCGAGAATCCTGTTCAAGCCCGGAAGCTGGCACTGTTCTTGAGCTGGGTCTTCAGATAGCTAGTCTTGAGCGCAGCGAGCATCAGCGGCTCGAGCTTGTCTGCAGCAATTCCTCCACACGACTCTGCAAGACAAAATGTCCCATGTTGCTGGATGGGTCCCAAGCCCCTCTGCACACACCCGCGAGCCGCACAAAAAAATGGCATGCTACGATACGGAGAAGCCAACCCAGGACGTCACACTTGTGACAGAGAGGAACAATGGCAACAATAACATTGCCGCAACTTACTTCTGTTGCTCTGGCTGCTACGGAATGCTCTAGCTGTTGTCACTGCTGCTGCAGGTGCTACGACGATGACTACTGCTGCTGGTACTGCTCCTGCTCCCTGCTGCACCTGCTGCTTCTGCTACCGCTCTTGCTCCGACTCCTGCTCCTGCTCCTACGCATCTGCTGCCGCTACTACCTGACAACGGTTAGGGCCATCACGACGACGACGACGTCAATTCGTAGCACTTGCCAAGTCACGATTACCACTAGTACTTACAGCATGGTCCGACTCATCGTGCAAGTATTGCTGCCATGCCCACGGCCGTATACGGCCGTTATTGAGAGTTACGACGGAATACACTATTACATCTAATGAGTCTCGCGTCAGAGAGGCTGCTGGCACGAATCTACTGGCACTAGTTGTCTCGTCCTCATTGGACTACTGCGACGACTGCGACTACACCTACGACGACGAAAACGACGACCATGACGCCGCCGCCACCGCTGCTGCTCCTGCTCTATGCTGCTCCGGCTCCTGCTGACGCAGATACTCAGGCTTCGTACTGTTGCTGCTCTTACTTCTACTCCCATCATCGCGCTGATTTGCTTCTGATGCAGACATGCCTTAATAGTCTCATTGCGAATAGCTTGCCAGGCAAGTGTCGACCCGTGGTGCCAAATGTGTTGGCGATGCAGAAAAGAGTCCCACGCCCAGCACACCTGAGCTGGACAAGTAGGAGTCACTGAAGCCAGGCTGCATGCCCTTCGGGAACTTAGGAGTCTCTTCATGTCATTTGATCACGAAAGTCAAGCCCATCCTCGCGTTTCTCTGTGCCGATGTGGACAAGTAGTGATGGGTGAGGGGGGGGGTAGAACTTCAGCGAACGCGCCAGACGCATCAGATGAAGACCATGCTTGGCATGACCACTCTGGCCAGCGATACCAAGCTATCGGCTGAGCACAGTGTGCAAACAAAGACATCCATTCTCTGCACCCTTCCGGCAATGTCTTGCGAACAGAAGCCATGGACTTAAGCCGTCTACAAGAACAGTCTTGTAGTCATCAAGTTTGCCCGATGCAACCGGTATATTCCGAAGCAAGCAACGTTTTTATGAGTGCGGACAGTGTCTGCACGGCTGATGTGTCCATAAATGGAATAGCTGATGCCTCGGCTGAGTGGCTTGATCAGAACTTGCTCAAAACTAGCTAGCAGGCAAAAACTGCCGAAAACACAAGGGCAGAAACGAACATTCAAGCAAGCGAGAGTTAATGCAGCCGTCCCATGCCACCCACATGCCACAAATGCTCGCCCTGCTGCCGATAGAATGATGCCGTCCAGCGAGTTGTCGATACCACTCCTCTCGCTATAATCCAACTCCTTCGAGATGCAGCAGAACGTAAGGCAGCAGAGGACATGCGGCAGCTTGTTTGGTTGTGTTTCTGCCCATAATATACTTGTAGGCCACGTCAGCGTCCTGCTCTTCGACCCATTCCTGCAATCTCTCGACCTCGGCGGGGCTGAGGCGCAGATCTGGTGATTTTCCGGCAAAAGCCTGAGGGAGCTGGCATTTGCGTAGAACAAAGGGCCTTCCATCCGAAGCACGAGGATCCCATGCTCCCTGCAAGCACCTCCAAGTGGGGGGACGTATTGTTGGGGCCAGGGTTGTTTCCAGGATTCCAGGATCTGAAAAGCAAGCCTGCTCGATCCAAAGCCATCCATTTGCGAGCCCTGGTCGAGAAGGCAAACATGGAGACTTTCGGATTCAAGCGCTAGTGCCGCGCCTGCTGCTGTGTGTGTCTTCCCCATCTCGCTCCCGGAAGCCAAGTTCCACAATGTCTGGGTTCACGACCTGCACGTAAGGGCAGCGATGTGGAGGGCATTTCCTAGAAAGCCACCACAGTTGTACCGGCCTGATACAGGATGATCACCAGTGACGTGACCACGGCTGCCAGCATGCCTCTGTGCTCTTGGTTTGGCCGTTCTTCCCTCATTAGATTCACCAGCCACCCGCAACCCCGGTACAAAACCAAATCACAAAGGCGCTCTCGCTTTGCAAGGGCTCAAGCCACGGCTTTCATGCGCATTCACGGGCCAAGGCCAGACACATTAACATTAACACCCTAAACCCTAAACCCTAAACCCCTAATTAAACCCTAAACCCTAAACCCTAAAACAGTAACTTGCAACAGCATCATACCGGCCTTGAAAGGCTCCGAGGCACAGCGTACAACCTAAGCCATGAAGGCAAAGAAAGCACTTCCCCCGCAAATCACTCGTCATGCGCTTGCCTTAGTCCATGCAGGAGGCTGAACCCAATAATCCAGGTAAACATCTCGCCTGCCCAGGCATCAAAAAAAACACTTGCTCCAAAAAAAGCTGCACTTTTCCAGCAGCTGCCTCTCCAACCATGACACAAACTAAGAATGATGCTTGCAGTCCGCCTCTCATCTTCCAGCTGTACCGCTCGTTCTGGGCATATTCATACAACTCCACGGCCTTTGGAGCAATGAAGATGCGGAGCACCAACTGGCAGGCCACTCACTGCAGGCCCACGCCTGGTCGAACTCGGTCAAATGTGAGGCGCCGTTGACAATGATACAGTTCAGCACGCACATTGGCACATTCTCGACGTATCTCCCAGGTCATGGTCAATGCTGGGACGAAAACATGCACTGAAGCTTGCTACGATCAATATCTCATGTCTGGGTGAGATGGTGTCATGTCTCCGAGCGCCTGCTGAAGAGTACCACTCCAAGACAGACCACGACCTGTGTTGGTTCATCGCACAAGCCGAGTCTTTGTCCAGCTAGCTGAACATTGCTGCTCAGCTTTTCCTCCCGTTTGATGTCACTTATGTTGCAGACTGCGATAGTAATGCCCATAAGGGGTTCTACGTCGATGAAGAGACGGTTACGCATGTGTGGGGCCGCGCTTCAGCATCCCCCTCCACAAGAGCCTCGCTTCAGTCTTTGAGCAGCCTCCTGAATCCTCGGACACCCGGAAACTGCCGGAATGCCGGCACGTTGCTCCAACGAGAACGTTGGCACCGAGCTGGCTCTTGATGCCCGCCTCCCACGGCCCAAGACCCAGAAACTCCACAGAGCTGACGCTTTCCGGCCTGGTGGGCGATCCCCATGCCTCGACTTGGGCGTTTTCTGAGCGTCTCACCCTCTCCACTCTCTTCCGAAAGGACGCTCTCTTCGGCCCAAGGGACGGCTGAGGCCCACCTGTGTTGGCACAGAGCCACAGAAGGCGCCAAGGAAGTTTGCGAATCCTAGCGCCATGAGCTCGTTGAAGGCTCGGATCTGGTAGCCATCCTTGAGCATCGAAGCAACGATTGCAGGGACAGCACGTGCAGATGCAGGGTCGTCCGTGCGCCTTCATGGCAAACTTCTTCGCTCCGGCAAAGGACGAAAGGAAGACGACGAAAGCCAGGAGAATGGCACCGGGGACCAGCTCCTGTGAGAGGTGTGCATCTGCTGAGCGCATCCTAGCCAGGTCTTGGAGAAACACCTGTTGCTGCTACAATACGCTGCGTCGACGTCAGTCCCACGGAAAATTCTGCTATCCTACAGGCGCTATGAAGACAGACTCATCCATGCGATGCCGTGCCTTCATCAGCTGCAAATCCGCAGCGGAGCTTACCTAACTGCAGGAACGTCAAGATTCCGAGCATCTGGTTAATGAAGTGGAGGCTCATGAGGCTTACGAGTTTTCATCTGACGAGCGGCGGGAAACGTAAGGTTTGGCAAACCGGAGGGAACTTTGCCAACGACGCGGATGCGTTCGTCAGCCTTGGCCTCACGCATGTGCAGAAGGAAGCACTGTACCAGATACAGCCTTGTGCTCATGTCAGCTCACAGTCCTGCTGGTTGTAGAAAGTGCAGAAAACTGCTGAAACTGCCAGCATGACCTTTGCACTTTGCAAGGGTCGCAATCGCTGTGCACTGACACATCTGGCCGGTCCATCAGCTCCTGATGCGGCTCTAGCAGCCAATTCCTTGAAGTCACTGAGGAACTTCAGGAAGCGCACCTGAAGGAATGACTTCACTGCCCCGCGATCATGAGATGCCATCGATGACACGACTTGCATCAGAACCCGGCCAAGGCTTTATTCCCAAACCCGCACACAAACGCACTGCATCCCCCCGCGAAGATGTCCGCGGCGCTGTCTTCAGTCTCTTGGCATTGAGAAGGAATAGAAGCGTCACGGTGCTGAGGCAGAGCGTCGCAGGGCTGGTCATTTCGAGGTACGTCAGATGATGCCTGCAGGCTGTTGTGGCTTGAATGTGTCTTGAGTGGCAGTCTCTTCTATGCAGAGTTCGCATTGCACTGCTGGCTGTCTAAGCCCAGTCTAACGGGTCAAGGGGCCTGACGATGTTCACGATGCCTCCCTTGCTCGCCCAGTCCGGCAGCCCGAGCATTGGAGCTACCTGGCTAGGCGGCCATGATTGTCACTCTCAGCGGGAGTGCGCGGAACGTGCGCACACGCTGCAGGAAGAGCTCAGGTGTCCTGCGACAGCATGATCAGCATGGCGCTGGCTGTTATGAAGCCTTGGCTCAGTAAACAGAACACAGCCCTCAACCACCGTGGCACGCGGATTCCCTGCCCTGTGGTAATATTGCCAGGACGCCACTCAAAGCCGGTCGTGATAGGAAGCGAACGAGGAAGGCCAGCTGCAAGACGCCCATCAGCGCCATGATCATGCCTGGGTCAAGCCACTGAGAACTTCCCCGGTGGCATGGGCTCTCAGCTTCAGCTCAGAGCGATCACTCTTAGAACTTTTCTTCTGCGAGTCGTCCCTCTGAGATCCGCAGAAGGATGCAGAAGCTGTCAGACGAGCCAGGGCCCATGATAATGATGCAGCTTGGCGGTGGCGTAGAACACCTTCGGCCTTGATGCCACTGGCAAGCCGACGTGGGCGGTTGCATCTGTCCGCCATCATGCTCCATGCCGGAGTTCTGAATGGAGTTGTCGATGCAGATGCATCCATGGTTTGCACGACGCCCAGGTGTTCAGTGCTAAGCCTGGAAGCAGCGAAGAGAAGGCCTTTCTTCACCTGGTAGTCACCCGGCAGCCGCTGTCGTCTTTCCTTTGGCATCACTCCGAAACTTCATGAATTGCAAACCTGGCGCCAAGGCGGCAGTGATGGCAAGCGAGCGAGCCCCATCATCTCAAGCTCGCTACACAGCCTTGGCACGCTTGCGAGCTGCTGAATCGTTGTGCGGGGCCATCTTCTCCATGAAGCGTATCAGCTCCTCCACACACGCAACATGAAGCAGCTAGAAGCAACTTGCAAGGCACCAGGCACCGGCCTCAGCAGTCTGCTGCACATCAGGGAACCCCGAGCCCTTCGCATACTCCAACTCCTCACCCAGCGAGCTTTGCGAGACTCGGCGAGTCAGCACCCTTCTCCTTCCGTGCTTCTTCCTCTCGCTCACTGTAGAGAAGGGCCAGCGCCAGCACGTTCCTCAAAGCATCTCAAAGCCAGCATCATTCAAAAGACACCGCTCAGGTTTGGTTGGCACTCTTGCTATGCTGACAGCTCATCATGTGCCGGCATGTCGCGCTGTGTGACCCATTTCGTGTCGCAAGCTTTGCACCTCCACCGGCACTATACGAGCAGGGTACAATACGACACAATAAGTATCTACATCCTACCTCTTCCGCTGCAGCATTTCGGACCAGGTCTTCGTAACCATGCTTGGCAGCATGCAATTCGGCGGCAGCACGCTCCCATCTAGGCGTCAAAGAGAACCGCAGCGGCTAAGCTGTCAGATCCTAGAGACCCCAGAAGTCATCTCACTGCAAGCCAGGGCTGCTGTTCCAGCAGGAGGCTCGCATCGCCCAAGCGCCTTCGAGCTTTCCTCAGCAATGACGCTGTCCTTTGTGGCTTCTGCAATTTCTGAGTGCCGTCAAAGCAGCAAGTTGGAAAGACGGTCCTCGGGAAGTGCTCCGAGAGCCGTAACTGCGAGCAGAGGTGGGCTCCAGGCCAAGGAGCCGCCGTCGTGAGGCGCACAGCGTCTTCCGCTGCATGGGCCGAGGCCTCACGCTCATTGGAATCGTAGATAATCGTAGGTGTAGCGGATTTCTCTGGTGCACTCTTCTGACTCACGGCATGTGCCTCGAATGTCGTATTGGAGGCATAGGCGTTCAACCATTTAGTTGATGACGCCAGGCAAGGGGGATGGATTGACAACATTATCGACTGTTGCCTTCCGTCGTGGTAGGAGACTCGACCTGCCGAATCCCGGATCGTGCGGTCAAAAGTAACAAGTACATCCATCCACCTCTGTGGGTGTGTCGCCAGGCTGAACGACACTGTTTTTTCTACATGGCATCATTTATCATCACATCGCCTGTTTCAACCGGAGCTTTGGTTTGACACATACATCCTCAATCTCTGCCCCTCCGCTGGATTGCGCAAAGCCTACGTGAATCTGCAGGCATTCGGCATGCGTGCTCCGAGTTCTTGGCATCATCTCCATTCTAAGGCGAGTACACGTAGATCTGACGACACATACGCACCTGCAAACCCTTCTCGCAATTGCGTCTTTCGCGCGCTGTACGTCAGGCAGGCCTTTCAAACCACGTGGGAATCCATTTTGCATGACACTTTAAGTGTATACATAATAGGATATCTTCTCCTCACGGAACATATGTAACGGAACCATTCTTTTTTGCTTCGTGGTGGCATTCTGTCTCTTGCTCTTCCTCTGGAACCCTTCTCTGCTGGTGTGTTGCTTGTTGCACTGACCACAACTCCGAGATTTTTCGATGTACCGAGAGTGTTTTTTCAGGCCACGGCAATTTGGTGTCTGAAGGCCTTGCGAAGCTACTGTGGAGGAAACGGAGATGAATGGCAATTTGGTGTCTGAAGGCCTTGCGAAGCTACTGTGGAG